CTCTCCCCCCCCCCTCCTTCCTTTCTATTCTGTTTCTATTATTAACTTGAATACGCGTTAGTACTGGGACGTGCTTTGCTATTTTCCACCACTTTCCTCCTTTTCCAGACACGTTTCTACCAACTAACAGTATTTGTCCTACTGTTCACCGAATATTTGGTGCTCGATGTCTGACAATAATGATATTTTGGTAAGCTATACGTGTACGTAAAAAAAAAAGTGGATAATATTGTAAGAAGAACGCGTTTGGTTATATGTTGTTATTGTAAATGTATCGTAACGTGCATGCGTTATTCGGCACTGCTTTCGTAGTTGCACTCTTCAACGTGTGAAAATACCCGTACGTATAGCCGTGGATTCGAACACACGGTATGAAAATAGTTGTAACTTGACGTCTCTGACTTCTGATTGGCAAGAAATCGTTGTAAAAGCTTTGTTGCATTACCAACGTTTCATATTACTTCGTTTTATATTTTCAGACGGTAGAAGCAAAATATCCATCGTCTATACTAGCCGGTCAAGAAGTGGAAGTTGTACCAACGAAAATATTAAAGGTAGACTTACCTTCGCGTCGCGTAATAACTGTGATCGCGCATAAAGGTAGAACCCTGAAAGAAGTGCTGAAACCGCTCTTAAACAAGTATGGTTTTAATTTAAATACAATCACCGTATGGAGCGATAATCACTGCGTTTGTATGGATATGCCAGCTATCGATGCTCCGCCTAGATTGACGTTGACGAATGTCAAAGATGAAGGTAAAACTGAAAAAGCTTTTTCGTAACTAGTTTTTAACTCTGTGGGATGATGAAGACTAAATAGAGACTAAATATTTCTATCGTGATATGCGTATACACGCATCTACGCATACACATATTTACAACATCTATAACGCACACACACGCGCATATATATATACAGGGTGTCCCACAATTATTTTAACAGCCGAAAATGAGGGGTAGCTGAGGTCATTTGAAGTAACTTTTTCCTTTGCGAAAATGCAATCCGCGGCTTTGTTTACGAGTTATTAACGAAAAACACTGGCCAATGAGAGGTGACGGTGCGAGAGAGAGAGTCCGCGAGAGAGTACGCAGCACGAGGCTTTGACAGATGGTCGGGACGGACTCGAGCCACGTTCGAAGTATTGAACAAATTACGAAGCGAGAACTTTCGGGATTTTTTTTTACTACGTAACAGTGATATTTTTAAGAAAAACGCTGTTCACCTTTACTTTAGAATGTCTGAAGAATATTTACTAATTTTTCGGACCCGAAATAATAAGTAATTTAACCGTGACGGCCGTTTTAATTTTCTAGTGTGCATGACACCTCGTGTGTAACATATGAAATTTTTGAGCAAGGTGTACAGTGAAGATTAACAAAGTACGTAAATGATATTTTACGTTAATGGTATTTTATTTAAATAATTCCGTGTCCGAACATAGTTCAACGAATGATTCGCAAAGCTAATTTAATAAATAATAATCGTGTTAAAGGACGTAAGGGATATGTTTGTTAGAGAAATATGAAGAATATTATCAATAAGAAACTCACCCATTTAGTTGTAAAATCCACTTCATGCACGGAAATGTGTGCAGGAGGATAGTGCATTGACCTCGTACAATGTATGATGAACTGCACAGCTGATCTGTATCCGACGGCGACGAACAGAAGGATATCTCCGGGCAGGCAATTTCAACGTTTACTTTCACTGCATTATCACTAAACACTGATCACTTATCAATAATATTTATGGACCAACTTTCCTGGGTTAATATGTATGGCCCTGAAAAGAGCCGATTGTTTTATGCGACGCGTTCGAAGTTCATATCGTTAAGAACACATACCGCGTTGACGGGATAAACTGCGGAAGACTAGCACGATGGCTGACAATGTTCGCGTTCGATGAAAAACAGTTGAAATTCGCTCGTAGGAGAACGAAACACAGTCGGCCATCGTGCCAGTCTTCTGCAGTTCATCTCGACAACGCGGTACATACGTGTCGATAACAGTGAGAACTTCGAACGCGTCGCATAAAAAAATCGGCTCTTTTCAGAGCTATACATATTAACCCAGGAAAGTTGGTCCATAAATATTATTGATAAGTGATCAGTGTTTAGTAATAATGCAGTGAAAGTAAACGTTGAAATTGCCTGCCCGGAGATATCCTTCTGTTCGTCGCCGTCGGATACAGATCAGCTGTGCAGTTCATCATACATTGTACGAGGTCAATGCACTATCCTCCTGCACACATTTCCGTGCATGAAGTGGATTTTACAACTAAATGGGTGAGTTTCTTATTGATAATATTCTTCATATTTCTCTAACAAACATATCCCTTACGTCCTTTAACACGATTATTATTTATTAAATTAGCTTTGCGAATCATTCGTTGAACTATGTTCGGACACGGAATTATTTAAATAAAATACCATTAACGTAAAATATCATTTACGTACTTTGTTAATCTTCACTGTACACCTTGCTCAAAAATTTCATATGTTACACACGAGGTGTCATGCACACTAGAAAATTAAAACGGCCGTCACGGTTAAATTACTTATTATTTCGGGTCCGAAAAATTAGTAAATATTCTTCAGACATTCTAAAGTAAAGGTGAACAGCGTTTTTCTTAAAAATATCACTGTTACGTAGTAAAAAAAAATCCCGAAAGTTCTCGCTTCGTAATTTGTTCAATACTTCGAACGTGGCTCGAGTCCGTCCCGACCATCTGTCAAAGCCTCGTGCTGCGTACTCTCTCGCGGACTCTCTCTCTCGCACCGTCACCTCTCATTGGCCAGTGTTTTTCGTTAATAACTCGTAAACAAAGCCGCGGATTGCATTTTCGCAAAGGAAAAAGTTACTTCAAATGACCTCAGCTACCCCTCATTTTCGGCTGTTAAAATAATTGTGGGACACCCTGTATATATATATATCAATTTACAATAGATTCTCGGCACGAGTTGCATACGGTGAAATATACACATGACATGCCGCTCGCTCAACCAACGTTGGATGAAATCACCAACCGAGTTTTCGAAGAATTGTTGGTTGGAAAAGGTGCAAACAAGTATCAGTATAACGAGGGCTCTTGCAAGGTAATTAAATCAATTACTAAAATTATTGATAAGAATTTTGCATTTCTGTGCTATTTTCTTTCATCGAGTTGTTTATGTTATACAAACAGTCGGACGATCAACGCTCCGAGGGTTCCTCGATTTTGCCTAATAAATTTTTTCTTCGTGATTCTACGATGCATGGAAAGAAGAAGGTACAAATAAGATACATTATACAAGTTTGACCGATAAAGTCTACGTATCTTGTTCCGTGTTTGCTTTATTCTTTGATCCTTTATTGTTTCTACTAAAGGGAAAGGTCAAGTGTAATGCGAGCGAAAAGGGAAGTGCGAACGATTATACTTCCGAAGATGCTGTCAAGTCTCATCCCCCTTTAATAGCGAAGTGGCGGAATGGCGTTAAATTACAATTGCCAGGGAAGTTTGATGGCGAAGGTGAGGATAACTGCAGACATAAAACTGGTCCACGTATATCTTTGACAATACGATAATGCTAATTAAGAGTATATCGAGCTAAATCGATGGATTTTGGTTGTCGTTAACAGATCTGTACGAAGGTTTGAAACGAGCTCAAAGATCCAGACTGGAAGATCAAAGAGGAACGGAGATCAATTTTGATCTGCCAGATTTTTTAAAGGTAAACGGATAAAAGCATATTCTCTGAGATATACTCGTACTGATACGTATCTATCCGATAATACGAGATTTTGTAACCGGGTGCGAACATCTCGTTGCGTTTTTATACATATATGTTACGTTGAAACTTTGATCATGCTACGTTTCGACCCTTAAAGCTATGAAATTACTGATCAGAACAAGGAAAATGGTAAGCCGGCGGATCGCTGCAACAAGGTTCGCAGACATAGGATAATTTGTGCCAGTTCCTCCGAAGCGAATGCCAAGTTTTATGGGTCAATTAACGAACGGGAAAGTTGCGAAGGACAGGGTCAGGAGGCGGTAGTAACTACATCGAGAAATGGGAATGTCAAGGAAGAAATGGCTCTATCGACGGCTGATGACGACTGTTCGATGACATTGGGTGCTGCGACCTCGACGGATGGGAATCGGCTCGTTGTAGAAAATGGATCCGGCTCTAAAACAACCGTTTTGAATTCTTTCGACGTACGAGCTTTGTCGAGCATTAAATCACCGAAACCCCCTCCTCTTCCTCCAAAACCGAAAAATCTTGTTACAAACGCCACTAAATCTGGGTATGTCTTGTCCTCGAAATCATTACCAAAGTCTACTCGAACAGTTCCCTTTGGCCCGACCGAATTAAGTCGGAAAAATATTTTTTAACGCGTTCGACACTGTACATTTTTATCGTACACCGACATCGTTCTACACAGTTTTCTTAAACTGTAATACGTACTTGCCACGTTAAGATAAGTCCGAAAACACGTACGGATATACTCTGGTGCATCCTATGCGCGTATGCATTACCTGTACGTTTGATTTCGTGCTATCTGGTATACACGTACAATGCGGAAGAAGCATCGAAGAAATGTCTCGGAACCACAATGTTGCCGTTGACATTATTATGTTGTATGTATACTATTATATACTGTGTTTTACGCGATCAGCTATTCGACTGATCAATTTATCCGAAGCTCGAAATTTGAAAAATGCCTTGACGCGAATAGTGTTGTCGCTTAACGCACAATACCTTGTCAGCTTCGTATGACAATGTTAGTTGATAGATATTTATGATTCCTTTACAATACAGCTGTTACTCTCCTGGTTATACAGGACATATATTTTATTGTAATTTATAGTCGACGAATGTTGTTACATGTAAACTAAAATAAAAATTTGAAATTTTACGCGGAACAAATAAATTGTCTAAAATTTGTTTATCAAACGTACACCATACACCTATGTTATACATATTTCCATTGCGGTTTTAAACTATCAATATTTTTCACAACTCAGCGAAATTGTTTGTATGCGTGTATAACGTATACGGTATGGATGAACGAATCAGCATCTACATAGAATTAATTGTTCTTCGATGACCGTCGCGCGCGCGCGCGCGTGTGTCATGCGTGCACGCATGTACACGCTAGCTTTCATTTGTTTTCACTCGTTAGTTGTTCGCCTCGACATTTTTGTAGGTGGCGTTGTATATGCGAATAAAATACTTTACGCGGGCTGCTAAGGACGTTCCATACAAAACGTACTACATATAACGTACAATTGCAACGGCAAGAGTTAGTCGGGTCCGCCCAGTTCATCGCACGTGGTTTATAATCGAGATTTTTATAAGATTTTGACACTAAATTTTGTCATGTTGAATGAGTCGGATACGTCAGAAAGGAACCAGCCAGACTAGTATCGATACACAGTAAAATAATCGCAGTGACAGTGTGTTTCTTTTATCATTGCATATTCGATTAATTTCGGACGAAAGGTAAGTAGCCGATTTCGCTATATGTATTAGTTTTAAACTGCCGTGCAATTTATCAATAATATTTTATTTTATTTGATTTTACTGTAGACGCAACTCTTTACGTATGTAGATGCAACTTTATATTTTTCTAAACGCACGTGGTGCCTAATAGGTACTACGTTACAAAAATCACAGTAAAAGTTTTTCGCTTCTTTTTCACAAATAAAAATGTTTTTTCACAAGCATACACCGATGTGATATACTTTTATCGGCCTGCTTTTATCCATGTCACCATACGCTTCACGGTTACCGTGTATAACGAGTAGTGATATACTTGTAGTGCGATGGACGATGGACGGTAGACGATAAGTGACGGGTGACGGGTGACGGTTGGTAATTTGTGTTTGTGGATAACATAAAATTTAGCGCGCGATTGGTAATCATTTTCGTTTGTCGTAACGTAACAAATATTGACAGGTTAGCGTGTGACACACAAGCTGACGAACCTTTTTATTTGTTTGTTTCTATTTTAAAATATCGAGAAATCGACAAAAAGGAAATGAAACATAAATTGAAATGTAATATGTAGAAGCGTTGAAAGTGTTGGAACGAAAAGAATTCGTGGTAAAGGTGATTTATCGAATGAAAATGTCGATTAATTTGAAATAAAGAGAGAGAGAGAGAGAGAGATCAGGTGTACGCTATTGTCCGGGATTTGTTTGTTGTTTTAAATTGTGGTTATGCGTCGAGTCGAACAAGGACACCGTTACAATAACATGTTTATATGAATAATACTGTTCGATGTTGACTCGATTCTTGTTGTTAGTTTGCACCGAGTCACAGTGGCATAGTTACAATCGTTGAAGCTTGAAACGCATACCTTTGGTTAACCGAAATACGTTTATAGACGATCGTGAGAACCACATGTACATACATACGCGCACATACGTGTACACGGGTATCTGTATACATATGCATGGAATAAATCGAAACCGTGTAACGTGAACATTGTTATGGAACTTAACAAGCTTGCTTGAACTTAACTCTAACAAGCTTGCACTTCTTTCGATAAAACGGATCCGCTACGTTTGGAGGAGTCTACGGAACATTGAAAATCACGTTCGCACTCTATCACGTTCGCACGTATTGCGTCTTCCTCTTTATGCTTTGTTACGTTCTTCTAGCCAACGTCTTCTATAGCCAAGGTGTTAATCTGTCGTCGAGTCGCGTCGTAACACATCGTAAATCGCAACGAAAGATAAGTCAGCTTGTTCGAGACAAGTAGATTCGCGGAGAAAGTTTCTGTTTCCATAACACAGCCTGAATTTTCATGAGAATTTAAACTCGAAACATTGTATAGACTCTCGATAGCGTATATACGAACAGAGTACAAGGTATAGAAACAACGTAAAAATTCTGAGGAAATAACCTGTTTATTTTTTAGCTGGTTACGATGCTATCGCGTATTTCCGAAATTGATGAAAATTCGCCGACGAAGTCTGAAGAAGGAGCATCGCCTTCGCCGATTACCGGCATTGTTCATGGATTGATGAAGTCTTCGCTTTCGTCGGACAATTGTTTGAAGCGTCGCATAAAAGAGATGGGAGAGAACCGGCAGATCGGAGGAGGTAAGAAACATTATTGTTTCGAATATATATAGACGTCTTCGTCGAATGATGCGGCGTTCTTCGTTGTAGAGAATTATTGTTATTTTGAGGCGCAACAGCTCGAAAAAAAAGAATGAAACGATTGGTAGATCGCAATCTCCTAAAGACAAATAAAGTAACATGTTTATGCAAGATTTTTGACGTAAATGTTCTATAAACCGATAAAACGATAAACCGAAGCGACAATATCGGTGATAATCGAATGCCGGAACGGTTATGGGTGAAGAAGGAAGCGAAGTTGCGACGAAGAGTTTCACAAGTACAATATACGCGGGGTCTTTCTCGGGGTCTCGGTTTCGGTCTCTGTCTCTGTCTCTGTCTCTGTCTCTGTCTCGGAGTTCCTGGAGGTCTCCGAGGTCTCCGGGGTCTCTCGGGGGATTCTCGGTTCTCGATGGCTTTGGGGTGGGTATTAACATTTCTTGTAGGGCCGGTAATGCAGGTCTCGCAACTTAATTTGAAAAGTCAACGTGCCGCGTTCGTTAACCTTTAACGGTCGTAAACCGAATTAGTCATTGATTTTTTTTTCCCACTGCGAATAATTTCCTTGGAAACAGTCGAGGCGAGCGTGTTTCCTTGGTATCGGGCACTAAGTCGATGCTACCTAACGCCTCCTGTGGCGGTACCGATAATTACAACAAAAGGACGATCGAGTTTACGCGAACTGTTTGCAAAAATATTAGATGCATGTTCTTTCGATGTTCGAAGTCGGAACGTTCCGTGTATCATTCTCGATTGTTAATACGTTAATTCACTCTATATTCGACACGACCATTTGAAAAATTCGTTGGTCGCGCGTTGGTTCGTACGACTTACCGGTTCACCATTTCACCAACAGGCAGAACGTACAAGATCGAGGGGGAGAGAGAGGCCAATGATCCGACTGGCAACCAGCAAAGGAAAGCACGAATAGAAATTATTTTTAACGTTCGCATCGATCATTCAAAATTCCGCCGTACGATATTGTATTAGTTGGACGTTTTTAAAAATTTGTACCGGGTTTGCCTTGTCAAGTTGTATATTCGAGAAACTTGCTTTTCCATATATCCAAACTGTTTTTTTCCATTTGAAACGCGATGGTAAAGTTTCTTTAAAGTATTCGCGACGAATTGTTTTCGGATAACCTTTCGAATCGACGAGTTTTGTAAGAAAGGAGAGACGGTTTCGTGAACGTACCGACCTCGCGTTCACTGTCAGACTTTTATCACGGTTTACGATACGAGAAAGCATCGTGCCGTTGCATCTACATAGTTGGCAGCTGTGCGGTGTTCGTTTTTTATCGTTTATCAGGTGTTGATGCACGCGTTGATTCGTGCGTTGATGCACCAGTTTGTCTAATTTCGAGCTCCATCGCCGGGATCTCGACAAAAAATAAAGGAAAATAAAGGAAAATACGAAGAGTATCGAAGCGTGTAACAATTAAGGAGTGAAAATATTATATTTCTCTCTTTTTGGTTAATTTTTTACTATATCTTTCTACACTATGCTGTACACGAGTACCGCGTCGGTACGAGCCGTTAATTTCGTCGAATTTTCAAAGATTTATGAACGACCCGGGCAACGCGCTACCTGCGTTCCCCCGTCACCACATTGGGAAGTTACAATTTTTTGTCGGTTCAGCGAGTAGCGAAGAGGAGAAACGAACGTACATACATTAATTTGTACAATGTGCGCGCAATAATCTGTGCGCGAAAGGGAATGCGAACCGGTTGATACTACGGAAACTCTAATACAGGGTAGTTGGTAGTCGAACGGACAACTATGTATAAGCACGTACGAATAGCAAAGTTATTTCACGACAATCCACGCGCTTAAAGGTGAAACGACCGTGTTCGCCGATGGTGATCGGTCACGGTGGGGTAGGTTGCACCTGTGTAACGAACAAGGATACGCTCGCGTCCGCGCGATCTCTTTCTCTTTCTCTGCCTTTGCCTTCAGAGTTTCTGTCGTATCGTCTCTCGGGCATGATTCCTTCGTCCTTTCGTTTCATGGCCGTAACTTTAATTATACATTTCTATCCGCGTACATATACAATACATATACGTATATACGCATGTATCTACGTACACATCTTGTTGCAGCGCTACGCTACTTCGAATAACTTTGCTGCATGCTCGCCAATATTTACGCTGCGACACACGCGCGCGCGCGCGCAACTAACAAAGCAGTAAAAACGAAGGAAAAAGTCAGGAATAAACGAAAAATGTTCGCGGAAAGATTACTTCGTGTACTACGTTCTACATCGTACGGTGCAGGGTTGGGTGATAATATGTACCTAGAAGGATATACGTGTACGTATATATATGTATACGGGCAGACGCCAGACTGCTTCCGATCGATACCGGCACATTTCGGTACAATTTTGTTGGTTTCATGATAGAATTCGATACGAAGGACTGTCGCGGATTAAACAGATGGGAACTTTGATCGTTTTTGGTCGGAGAAAAATATGGAGCTGAGCGAATACGCGACAGCGGATAACAGGGCTCGAGTGGAGCACGCGTCGACGATGCGTCCGCGAATCGCGAGTCTCGACAAGTTCTTGTTCCGTCGGAAACAATTTCTATCGAGGAAACGGTGGATAGGACCGAATCGGTGGGGAGGAGGAAAGGAGCTAAAGCAGAAATCGACTCGGACGTACGTTCGAGATAGTCGCGTTACGAACGCGAGTAATTAGACGATCGGGAACTCGCGCGCGAACGTACGGAAACGATGGGGCGCTAACGTGCTGTTGGTGTCTTTGGTGCTTCTGGTATTTCGAAGGGTCGGTTCACCCCTACAGGGGAAGGTTAGGGCTCGGGGGGCAGACATATGAGCACACATGGAACGACATTCGCCACCTGGCACGGTGTAGCTGGTAGCTGAACGTTTGCCATCCCTGTGCGTGCGAGCATACCCGCGAGCATATATACATGCATACATACATACATACGTAAAATGCATGTACCTTCAACGTTCGGTGTACCCCCTATCCCGTAAGCGTACCGTGACCCCGACCCAACCCTCTTGGCTCGTGCCATTCTACATTGTCGTAGAATTTTCGTTTTCCGATTTTCGTTTATCGTTTTTAATCTGTCATCGCGTGTTCCATTTTATGCCGGAGTCGCGCGGTACGTTGTTGAAACCGTTTAAATCGATCTCGGCGAAATTGATTCTAAATCCACTCGAATTGTAGCGGCGAAAGTGGAACGAGTTCGTGGGAGAAGTTGGTTCGTACGTTCGATTTACTTTGGTCGAGTGTACAGGATCGTTGCAAACGCGTTTCCTCGATCAACGCATTTTTCGACTCTTTCAACGGCGAAGCATTTCGGCGTACATGGAATCGATGGCAATGGAATCGAATGGAATGGAATCGAATCAATGGCAACTTGGAATCAATACGTAAACGAGGGCGGGAAGACGTTTCGTTTCTAATTTTGTTCGTACACGGTTCCCCGGAGACTGCTCGAACGCGACTATTTGGTCGGTCGCTTCTATTTGTATTTATGGAACAGATTTTCACGTCGGAAATAGATTTCGGGGATGGTTATTTTCAAGTTCGTACTCGTGCACGGGCCACCGCCGCCTGCCGTCGCGAGGCGTACCTAGCTTAGGCCTTCCCCCGTGGTTACCGCAAGGCTCACCCCCTCGTGGTGTATATTTAACCTCTATATTTTTTATTCGAATCGTTTCAACGGACTACGGTTACGGGGGCACGCGGTCGCAGTCGTCACAATTTCGTTTAGGTTCGACTCGTCGATACGTCGTTGTCCGACCTATACGTATACGCGCGCGCGTTACGCGTATGGTAAAAGCGCGATCGAATGGAATTCGTACCGCGTAAGCCGTAAGATATAACACAGGTAGAATGTCCTAGCGTCCGTCACAGAGACTGCATCAACTTCCTGCGGAAGCATTTCACGATGAACGCGACTGCTAGGAAGGAGAGCCGTTCCAGTTCTGTACCGACCCTTACCCTCCGCAACCGTGTCTTATCTTTCCGCGACGCTATCTTCGCGAACGCTATCTTTGTTCGAACCATTTGAAGTAATTACGAGAGAGGCGTTCAAATTGAAATATACACATTTTCCATAGCGTAACGACGCGTTCGCGCGCGAACCCGTACGTCGGCCGAAAAGTTATCGAACGCGACGAGAAACGGTGGCTCTCGGGAACGTCGTATCGGCGAAACTCACCGAAAAAATCGTTTGGTTCCGAAACGAAGCCTGGCCAAATAGTTCAAACAAATGGCCTAGTCGCCGATCGAAAGTAGTCGAACCTTTTTATGGTAGCATGAAGTCGCGCACATGGGATGCACGTGTACGGTACACCTACACCTACGCTTACACCGATAACCGATACACGCGTATCTTCCAACGGTGTAACCATAACCAATTCTCGCTCGTTCTCCAATAAATTCGCAGACGATGGAAACCGGCGAGTCAGCTTTTATTGTCCTGCACGCCCGAACGAGGACAGAGATTCGTTTATTGCCAATGAAAAATTGATCGGCATTTTTTGTTCGACGGAAACACGATTAAGGTATCGTTTTAACATTCGCTTACAGATTCTGTTGGTACACGCTGTCTGTCCGAACACGGATGTACGGGATCGAAGGGACCGAAGCGGCAACGGTAAGTAACTTGACCGATCGATCCGCTCGATAAGATTTATCATCTTTTGTTCGCGTTTCAACTAGCTGTCGCGTTTGTGTTCGTCCACGGTACCAATTCCGATTCTCTTCGCGTTTCCTCGTGCTTTCTCGCGTATCCTCGTATTTTCTCGCAGGTACAGGGTTCCCCGGAAAGAATCGTCCGATTTCAAAAATTGATATTTTAAAAAATTACACACAGAAAATTATAATTCAAACACGAATATAACGGGAAAATGTGCGAGTTTTACTTTTTACCCCATTGGCACTTGGAGGTTCGGAATTTTCTTAACACGGAACTACCAAACCGTTGGATTGGTCGCAGTTCATCCGATAATATGGTTCTACACAGTTGGCCTCCGAGGTCACCCAACCTAACCCCATGCGACTTCTTCCTTTGGGGATTTGTGAAGGATATTGTCTTCGTACCACCTTTACCTACAAGTGTAAATGAACTGAAAAAACGCATTTGCGATGCTGTATAAACAATTACCAGAGATACGTTACACCGTGTTTGGCAAGAACTTTCATATCGCAATGATATCATACGTGTAACGGAAGGAAGTCATATTGAACACTTGTAAACAAAAACTCGCACATTTTCCCGTTACATTCGTGTTTGAATTATAATTTTCTGTGTGTAATTTTTTAAAATATAAATTTTTGAAATCGGATGAGATTCTTTCCGGGGAACCCTGTATT